CCGCTCTTCACTACAAAAGTGTTTAGCTAACTGGAGTAATTCATCCCCAAATAGAAGGGCCAATTTTCAGACAAATGAACTGAAACTCAATGACAGACCACTATGATTTCCTTTTGATTTATTTTTGTTTTGGGATATAGCCCACTTGGAAACAAAGGCTATTTCTTCCCTTGTGCCTAGAAAACTCAAGTCCGCCCATTTCTTTTCTGCAAATGAGCCCAAGAACATGGGGCTCAAGCTCCAGCTTTCCTAGGCCCCTTTCCTGTGTCCCTCAGTCATCATGAGAAACGATTCCCTTTAAAATTAAGACACTCTCAAATGTAACTCAACTTAGGGTCTAAAGTAAACTCCTGAACATTTACCTGCCTGATGGCTGCCAATTCTGGGCTTGGCTAGAAGTAGCAAAATATGATCAGTTCTGAAGCAGATGGAATAACCTCAACAGTGAGTCAGTCGCAAGCAGCTTCCTGGCTTCAGGAGGCTGGATCTTGGCCCTCAGCTCTCTGGGCCTCATTCCCTGATGGCAGGGGAAGGGCATGACATAGCAAAAGCAGCAAATGAGAGTCTGCAACCAGCTTATTCCCTGATTCACTCCTACAAGGAGAAACCTGTCAGTGAGAAGCAACTTTGGGGAACTGGAGAGCATGGGTCTAATGTTACTTTCAAAAGATGTCCGAAATGTTTTACAAGATACACTAGCTCATCAACACTGCCTCGAATCCTTTCCCCAAGCAGACTGACACAGCACAAATTGCCACTCAACATATTAAATCACATTTTATTAGAATTTCTCTTCTTTCCTGCCAAACAGCGGCAATCTGAGCCCTCAAGTGAAAAGGATATTGGTAGAAAGAAATATGTTTACACAAACTGATCAAACAAAGCAATATCTCACCCTACTGTCTGTGTGCGCAAAATTCCTTTCTCCTTCACTATTCAGGAATGAGCTTATCTACTTGAGAATCACTGAATTCAAGGGAACACTAATACCAGGCACATAAACATTAGATCCTTATAACCATTTCTGAAACTTTAGCTCATCAAAATCAAATGACTGCTTTTTAACTAGTATGAAAATAATACGACTTAAAAACAAAACAAACAAAATAACCTCTGTGTTCAATGATATCTGAAATGAAGATTTTAAATTCTATGAAACTAATTTGTACTTGAGAATTAAAGTCAGATACTCTTCATTTTTCACCTTTTATTTCCTTTGAGCAAGCACCACACAACTGCTTTCCTTAGGTGTTACCCTTTAACAGGCAGCTACAGACAGACAAATCACAAGGTTGTTTCAGGTAAGTGAACAAAAATGGTGAAGGACTTTCATTATGAACAGACTCCAAGATAAGAAACTCACTAGAAACAGAACTACCACCATCTAGAAAATGACCTCCTTACAACATCTAGCTTAATACCCACCTTCACAAAGCACTTGACAGCCACCTTTTCTGCCTCTTCCCTCCTTTCTCCCAGCTATGAGCAGAAATCAAGTTCACATTTCACTGTCATCTACTGGTTTTGTGACCTGGTTTTAGTTCCTCATTTCCGTGGTGCATTTTTTGAGGGTGGAGACCATGTCTCAGTCTTGGTAATCCTTAAGGAACACATTGCAGTGACAGGCAAATCAGGAGTCCTCGGGAAATACTGACTGTGGACTCCCTGCCACATGAAATACCATGAACACAGAAAGCCAATGCCTCTAGGAATTAAGAAGGGAAAAAAATCTACAAACTTCAAAGTATTGTTAGGAAATCTGCGTATATCTTCCTATTGGCATTCTCTCCCCTTTCAAGACACACACATCCCTAACCCTCTTTATGTGACCCATAAACTGAGTATATACAAGGCACATCATGGATGTTGAATTACAAAGGCGAAGAATCAGTCCCTGACCTGAAGATATTCACAGCACAGTGCAGAAGACAGGTAAAGACAAACATAGCAGAAGGTGGCATATGCTATCATATGACTGTATCAAGGAGCTCTGAGACCCAAAGAAAGGAATTTCCAAATCTGCCAGTGGCAGAGGTCAAAGACATGGGAGTCAGGCAAAAGGAACAGAAGATATTAATGCCAGACTTTCAAGCAAAGAACCCTGGTAGAGGAAAATATCGAGACTAAAAGCACAGAAATAAGGAGGAACATGACAGTTTTCAGAGCCAGAGGTAGCTGGATTTGGCTGGAGAATACTGTCAACGGCAGGAAGGAGGAACGTGAAGTATACGGTGCAGGCATCTGAACCTGATCTGGAGGCACTGGGAAGTTGCCGCAGGGATTAAGCAGGAAGGTGATATGATCCAGAGAATAGATTTGAGAGGCACTGAGGTATCACAGTTGCTAGAACTCTGTGAACAAAGTGACAGGGAAAAGGGGAACCTACGATGGCCTTCGAGTGCCTGGCTTAGGTAACTGAGTGAATGGCTGAATCATTAATTGAAATAGGGAATGAAAAACAAGGAGCAAACTGGGTATGAGAGATAATAACACCAGCTGTACACATCTTGGGCTTGAAGTGTCAATAAAAAAGTCAGGTAAAAACATCTAAAGGAGAGTTGATATTACAAACGCAGAGCTCTGGAGAGAGGTCTGGGACAGTTTCATTGATTCGGGAGTCATGTAGTAGAGTTGAAGTCATAGCACTGGATGGAGAGAACGAAGGAGAAAATGTAGAAATGTTAAGGGAACATTGGAGGAACTTCAGATGCGAGGAGCAGGCTTCCCCTCAAAGCGGTATGGGCAGTGGTGGTGGTGGCTACTGTTGTTATTTTGAATACAGAGATGTGTTATTTTACAAGTATTTACAATCCCCACCCCTTACCCCGACTCCAGACACAGATTCTCATAAGAATTGGATTAAAAAAAGCACTTGAGAGGACATGTCTTTCACGACAGCTACCATGTTACACTATTTAGCCTGGCCCTGAGCACATGAACAAGTGTTTTATTTACATGACAGACTAAAACAGTCTTCAAAGACTGGCAGAAAATCAGAGCAAG